GAGCAGGGGCATGCGATTGGCGGCTGGGGCTGCGTGGGCGCTGGAATGGGGGCAAGACGCGTTGTTGCCTTGGCCCTGGCCAGCCGTGGGGACGGGGCAGCCGCTGGGTGAGTTGGTGGGGGGAGTTTTGTCGTGAGACGGGTGGGGGGGAGGAGAGGGTGAGTTTGCGACCGGCGGCGGTCTTGCACCGGGGGTAGGCCTCAGGCAGCCTCGCAGGACGGTAGCCAGCGGCCCCGCCCGGCGCCAACCGCCCGAGGCCGCCTGGACAATTTAAAACTAGTACGACATGCCAGCGGGCGGGCCTCGACACGTGAACGCCGAACCTGCCCCGCCCCACTGTTCAGGAGTACCGGGACGCGCTCGCGGCGGAGGTGGTCCGCTTCCTGCACGACGCCAGCGCCGCCTGCCCGCCCGCCCTGGCAGCGCGTCCCGAGGAGATCCCCGGGCCCCGCGTCGCGGGCGTCCCCGCGGCGCTGCTGCTGAAGGAAGCCGCCTACTCGGCAGCTGCAGTGGGCGCGTACGAGCTGCACGACTTTTTGGACTACTCGTCGTGGCTGCGGGGGGCGCTGCTGCAGGTGGGCGGCGGCCAGGCCGGGACTTAACAGCTGGAGCCATGCCGCGCGCGTTGCTGCGCCACTCCACTCCCTCAGTCCGCCATATGACCTCCCGCTCGCGGCCCGCCGCCGTCCCTCTCACCCTTTCCCCAGGAGCTTGTCTCTCAAGCGCCCTCCGCTCGCCCGCTCCGCCGCGCCGCCGCGCGCGCCGTCGGCCAGTGGGTCGCGCGCCTTGAGCCCGCGGACCGCCCCGCGGCGTACGCGGCCGCGGCCTCCGCCGCGGCCGACCCTGACGCGTGCGTGCGGCTCGCGGCGGTGGCGGCGCTGCGGGCGCTGGTGGATGACTTTGGGTTTGATGTGGCGACGTTCATGGGGTGCGCGGCGGGGGTGATGGAGGCGCTGGCGGCCATGCTGGTGGACTCGGATGAGCTTGACACGCAGACACAGGTTTGGAT